ATATATATATATATATATATCTCTCTTTCAAAGGAACAGAATGTAGACTGTGATGATGCAAATTCGAGTAACAATTCACTGAGAAGAAAATTATTTGCTTGTCAAGACGAGAGTACTGACAATGATAACGACAGTTTCACGTCATTATCACCGGTAAAAACAAGTAAATCTATGGTGTTAGTGTGCAGCCCTCCTCAAAGTGGTATGTTTGTTCACGGTACTCCATTAAAGGTATGTGATGATTTATACAAAATATGGTTTAGATAATTTTTGTATATAATAATAGTAAAGGGGAATTTTTTTTATTTAAACTGTGGAATGTGATTTTGATCTTCAAACAATTTTAATTTGTTGGGAAAGTATTAAAATTAATATACGAAGTTATTAAATATATAAGAAGTTATTATTATAAGTGTGTAAAGAAAAATATAAAATTGAAGTAAAATAGAAGATTTCTGATAGATATTGAACATTTAAGAAAGATGAATTTTAGACAAAATCTAATGTAGCCCGATAATATCATATCTGTAATTATCATTACAGTGGGAGAGCAATATCCATGATTTAAAATCTCATTAATATATACTCTATTTTTAAATTTTTTTTTTTTAATTTTTTTTATCAAGCAGAATATGAACGACTAGAGATGAGAGCATTTTTACTAGCAGGAAAACATGAATTAATATATTCGTGAAACTCAATAATAATAATTTATGATACTAGCTTCATATGCTGATTTTAATACTTTGTGACAAATTAAAATTTCTTAAAAGTCAGAATCAATTTCTATAGTTGAAAAACTACAAAAAACATACTATATTTATTTGCCACTTTAAGAGCCAAAATCGTTATCTTTTTAACATCCTCTTTTACATCTTATTGTCAGTAAATAAGATCAATTATAGCATATACGTATCGATGAAATTAATAAAATAATATATTTTAGATGCTGCTACAAACTAGACGGCAAAGCAATAGCTCCTCCGTACTATCTGAAAATTTATCGCCTAATATCTCACCAATACATAACGCAGAAAACAATAAGTTGTACAAAAGAATTGAACATTGCTCTAGTTTGGCTACTCGACTAAATTTCGTGACAGATATGGACATAAACGATGCAGCCGAGAGAAAAAGTTCAAGTTCGATTAATGACCATCATTCGTTAGGTAAATTTGCTTTCTGTTTTAGCTTAATTTTTTAATACATTCTGTTGATCTTTATTTTTATCTTCGCTTGAAACTTCTTTAGAAAAGAAGTTAGCTTTATTGTTTTAATAAAATGGGAAGGATAGTTTTCCCATTGTTATGATAAGGAAAATGCATGCATTCGTCTGCAACATATGTCATAGTTAAAATTCTAAAGAATTTAGTTAAATAAGTGAATATATAGTGTCCCAAAATTCGCGCATTCGAAGTACATATGATACTTTATGATAAAACAAACAATTTTTTCCTTTAATAAAATTGTCCGATAAATGATTTTTGCGCTTAAATAATTTTGTTAACTTCAACCTGCTCTCCTGCAAAAACTATTTATCGGATGTAATTTGTTAAAGAAAAAAGTTGTTTTTTATAAAACGGACAACTTTTTTCTATAGTAAAATTACATTCGATAAATAATTTTTGCGTTTACTGCAAAAGGAAAAAGTTGTTTGTTTTAGCATGAAGTATCGTGTCCTGTACTCCGAATGCGTGAATTTTGGGACACCTTGTAGAAAAATTAGATCTAAACATATAATTATATGACTTTATGGAGAATAAATTTTAGATATTTATTAGATCATTTTTCGTGTTAAAATATTTAGTATTAATGTCTGTTGCAGACAAAACAAAACGTAATAGTACTATGTTGAAAATGTATTTTAGATATGTCTGATAGCGAAAATGACGTGAAATGTACCGAAGAAAATGGTAAATGGATAATTATAAATAACGATAGAACAAATGCATGTGATTCTGTTAACATGGAGGAAACAAAGAGTATAAATTCACCTGATAATACTGTGCACTCTAACGGTGTCGTACTTAATGATAAAGAATATAATAATGAGATTAGTTTAAAAATTGCATCGGAAGTTACAAGTTTCTCGCGCAAAAGTCACAAACAGAGTAATATAATGTCCGGTGCTTTCGAGCAGCAAAGTATCTCAAATTCTATTCAAGACACTGGTTACCAAACTTGTAGCATGAATAGCATGATGCACACAATAGATAGTTACAATACTTCCATGAGCCAAAAAACTCTTTGGAATGAAAGGATATTGACGTCCAGGGATATTGCTCAATTATCTTGGAAAGAAAATATGACGAACGTATTTAGTTCTACACCTTCCAAATATAATAAAGAAAGAGAAAGTGGAACTTAAAAGTAGTTATAAAAATCAATTCATAGAAAAAATTCTCAAAAAAATGCTCAGTTAGATCACAATATTTAACTTATGACTATCACAAAAATAGTGAAATGTGCATGCGTTTTTATAATAAATGTATGTTTTGTCTCTTATATAGTCAATTAAATTAAATGATTCTTTGACCGATCACATCTCAATGTGATATAGCTAATGTTATCTTTTTCACATATTGAATTGATGTTTTCAAATAATTTAATCTAATTGAATTTGATCTAAATAATTAATATCATAGGTATTACTCTAAATTTTAATGTATAGGTCTCAATATATTTATTATATAAATATCTTTTTATCAATATTATGTTATATTCTTAATGTTTGTTTTATTCTATCAAAATATTTTATTGTAACATTCCAAAATTATTTCTAAAAAACGCATTATTTTTTAAAAATATATATACTTATAAAATCATTTTTTAAATTGTATGATCAACATTAACATATTGCTGTATATTCCTAGTAATTAATTGTACCATATAGATATATGTATATTAAAATATGCCATATTATTTCTATGTAGAATAAGAAATGTTGAATAAAATAATCAACAAATTTTGTTGTTTTCTTCATTTGTTTCATTAGATAAAATTTTCTTGTAGTTACAGCCTAAAATATTAAATATACTCAAGATATATATATAAGC